TATAATGCTTTCAAATAATTTTCATTACTAATATTCATTAACCAACGGACCTTTAAACTAAGTGTTGGTTTGAAAAGTTGATTGAATTTCTTTGAAACTTGCGTGAATAATGGATTACGTGAAAATATAAATATTAATTCCAATAATTCAATTGGGAGTTGTTCAAGTTTAGATAAACTATATAAACTTGACATGGTTTATGATTTAGCTACTTTTTTAATATTAAAAAAAAAAAAAAATGAAATTTCAAAATTTTCAAATTTGGAAATATTAATGCAGTTGGTCGTACAAGGTTGCTGTTGTTGTTGTTATTATTTCGTTACGATGATAGTCTTTTCCTAAATAATGTATCATTTTTTTTTGGTTAAATTGAACAGCGGAAACAAGAGTTATGGATCCAACGATTCTTTAATCCTTCTCTTTTTCAAAGTATTTGTAAATTTGTTTAAGCACACAAAGACCAAAGCTTATTGTTACTGTAATTTTTTTTCTTTGATCCAGCAAGGCAAAGAAAACAAAGACGCATGTTTTGATTCCTTGCTTCGATTTTTTATTTATTTCAAACTATTTATTTGGTCATATTAAACATGTTAAAAAAATCTTTTTTATAATAAATAAAGATTATTTAAATATATTGATATGTATCTACTCGCTCTTGTCCTAAAATTCTTAATATTCTACCTACTTCAGGCATAACGCGTAAATTTTTTAATATTAACAGTTAATCCTTTTAATGAATCTTCCTGTTAAATAGATACTGGGATAAATTTTCTTTACGTTACTCTTGTAGAACGAATTAGAATCAGCTATCCAATTTTGACCTAATAGCTAACCGATTGATATTTATTTATATAATAGATAGGTAGTTGTAACACGCTGATTGGTGTCGAATTACGGCGTCATTCGGTAATTAATTGACATTAATCGAACAGCGATTTCAAAGTCTAACCTGTTAACTTTGTATAACTTAATTAATTAAATATTTTCATTTGGTAATAAACCGACTCCTTATTCTATTTTCAAACGGTCAGTATGCTATAATGAATACATGGTTGACTTTAACTAATTAATTGAATATCATTTAGATATTTAAAATCATCAGTATTTTGGTTACCATGAGTAGGGTTGGTCCGGTCGGGTCTGTCTGGTCTTTTGGGACTGGTTAAAGATTGTTTAACGACTAACTCAATAGTATTTTGATGTGATTTACATATTTCGAGGTAGATTCTTGGTCAATCTCGATTATTTTACATTTTATGGTCGAGTTCGAGTTAACTTTTTGGCTACATTCGTCGATTTGATTGCAAGCATTTATGTACAATGCTTGTCAACATATTTATTTTACAATTACCCTCCGCACCTAGAAAGAAAGCTTCGGCGAAGCTGTAAGCATGCTTTATGGTATAGTGCACACCACAATAACCCATCAAATAAAAATTGACCAACTTTAAAACCTAAAAATAAAATATAGTGTGCTTATCAAAAAATTATTGAGACGATATTTGATAGCTTTTGACTAGTTCTACAATCTATAGTCGAGACAATTAAAAAATAATTATTGGTTCAGGAGTTATAAGCTTTTGAAAATCATGTAATTTTTATATGTTATATATAAAATTTTCCAAATTTGAAACATGTAATTAAAGAAAAAAAAAACAAAAAATTTCACGCGTTTTTTTTTTTTTTAAGTCAATAAATCTTGATAATAATAATTGCATTGGATTTATGAATATAAAATAATTCCATTCAAATTTTTTTTGTTTAAAGTTTCTCTTGAAGGACCTTTGATTTGTTGTGCTAGACATATCTTAGCAACTCAAGATGATTTTAAAAACCAAAAACCCTTACTTCAAGAATTAATTGAAGAAAGAGGACATAAAGTCATTTTCTATCCAAAATTTCACTGTAAGCTTAACTACATTGAAATTTATTTGGAGGCTTCTAAATGATATGTTAGACAACATTGTATTTACATATGGAAAGGTCTTCAAGAGAATGCAATGCTTTTGATTCTATATCACTGAAACAAAATTAGAAAGTATGTGATGAGAGCCTCAAGATTTATGTATTGTTATGGAAAAGGATTAACAGTACTACAGGCTGAATATATTGTAAAAAAATATAAGTCACATAGAAGGATTCCAGACAATGTGATAGATGAAATAGATGAATTAATAATATTTTTATTATGATCGATATCTTTAATCGTGTCATGTTACCTCAAATTTTTTTGACATCAATTTTGTAATGAAAGTAATATAAAAAAATTCAAAAATATTTGTGAATTTGAAACATTTTACGCAGTATTTGATGGGTTATTGTGGCATGCACCGTACCAATAACAACGAATTTAATTATTTTTGTTCCACTAATTTAAATAAATCATTAAGAAAGAAATAAAAAATAAATAAAAATATGGGTATAAAATATTATTAAATAAAGAAAAATGGCATTAATGCACGGATATTAAAACGAAAGATGCCAAGTTGCATGTCCAACATATGATTAGACGGCACTCGATAAATCCGTTTTATCGAATATTTATATTAATTAATATTAACTGTTGTGCGAAATTTATTTATATTTTACAATCAAAATTTCCTTATTAAGAAAGTTCCGCTGATCCTATAATAAGGGCCGGTAAATTTAGGACTGTAGGTGGTTCAAAGACAATCCTAACTATGAGTCATATATGAGACCTTTGTCAAAAATCATGATTTTGAGTTAATACCACCCTTATATGTAACTCTTTATATGGAACGTTTCTGGGTTAGATCTCACTTTGCGTAGAGAAAACAATAACGAAATTCAATTTTTCCCAATATTTTCAACGTTGTCCTTGTTTCTATCGAAAAGCCTCATGTATCCATTTGCATTTTATTCGATTTTTAAATTTATATTGAATGCAAATTTATTTTATTCATTTCTAATTTATAATAATTGCAAATTAGTTTATTTTCAAAATGATTTTAAAATTTAAAAAACCAAATTCTATTTATTAATGTTCACTTTTTTTTCATCATATTCTCCTTTACCTTCAAAACTCTCACCAGAATTTTTTTAGAACCTTCTTTGGAATTACTTCTTTTATCAGATGTTACCAATTGAAGTTTTTCATGTTTTTTAATAGCCTCGTTAACTACATTAGCTAAAGAACCGTTACAACCTGCTCTTGTCCAATCAGACGCATCATCAGGTGCACTTAGTTCCTTATCATATTGTTGTATTCTTTTTTGAATATGAGGAATTCGTGTTTGTTCTTGAAAAATTTGGTCAAGATAAGCCTCAAAGTAGTAACTTAATTGCCGATTCGTGAGAGACCCCCAAACCTGTATTTCCCACATAGAAAAGTATTTATTCATCATACAAACTATGGTAATTTTTTAGATAGTATTATCTTTTGAGATCAACTTTTATAACTTTATTCATACATAAAGTAATATCATCCTGTGACATAATACAATTTTTTGTGTAAAGGTTGACCATTGGTAATTTTTGCCCCAAAGCTCGTCAAATTCATAGATCTGACACAGCAAAGTTTTTCTATAAAAAGATAAAGATCTTTGATAAAATTTTCATAAAATTTCCAATTATTGTTAGCCAAAAGCTATCATCTGTATTTCTACGCTTAATCTAAAAGCTTGAATCCATTTTTTGCAATGGTTAGTATTAACAAGGGAAAAAAATGAATTTACTACCATATTTTGATTGTTACACAATACATGTGAGATTTTTTTATATGATGGCATATAATAAAAATAAGAGAGTTACGACTTATCGATTATCGAGTCTTATTATAATTATGAAATTATAGAATAGAATTTTAATATACTGTAACTGGCATTGGTTCCTGAAAAAAATTTATGATTTAACGAGCTTTGATTGTATTAGTATTACAAAAAATGCGGATCGTCACTGGTTCATTCGCGTATCACCAATTAAGCTTTTAAAAGAAGCAAAAGGTAACCAGCTAATTGAAGTAAATTAAAATAATTAATATTAATAAGAAATACACAATATTCGATCCCCAACTTGGGTCTCCCAATAGAAGCAATTAATATTAACAAGTAAGGTTGTATAAATAATAGCTAGTAATTGTAACAATAATTAAAAGATCCAAAATAAATAAAAAGTTTATCAAAAAGAGTGATTGCTATTTATAATGTTACACATTCTATTACTATTTATTTACTGGTTCATATTATAATCAAATAATATAAGCCTGTAAATTAATTGATCTTAATTGTTTCAAATATTATATCGAATGCAGAAAAGTATTCGGTTCATTCATATAACATCAATCTGATTTCAAATTGACAAATTGTATTCTATAAATCCAATTAATAGTAATCGGTTATCGGTTTAACTAATAATCATTTTAGTACTGTTTGTTATTGATTGAACCTAAAGCTATTATTAACACTGATCGGCATAATACCTGATCCAAAAAGGCTGCCGGATCAAATTTATGATCTAATTAATTTTTTTTATCAATTTGAAATACCCCATTTTACATAAAGATACCCTGAAATTTCTCACTATTTATTTTTACTACTCCAACTTTTACATACTAATACAGTTCTTTAGCTCTACCCTCTTTTTCCATGCCAGTTTCTCAATAAAAAAGCCAACTATACCCATTTTATTAATAATACCAGTTCAAATATAATTGTCCAAGGTCCAATCTAACATATTTCTAAATTCATAATTCTTTTTGAGTATCTGAACCTTATCATTATATATTAGCTGTATAAATTAAATTCTCTGTATCATTAATAGCACAAGTCTTGTAAATAAAATTGCAGCGAGTTTTTTGCTCTAGAATGTTTGATTACATTTTAAGATTGGAAAAAATTACATGTTGATCAATATTATGTGACCTTGATATTTTGATTTATTTAATTAGACCATTAATTTATTAAATGTTTATAATAACCAATTCACCATAACTGAATCAGGAACACGTCTATGAGATTTATACAATCATGGCAAATCCTTTTTAATCCTTGTTTCTGCAACTTTCTTCTAAACTACTCTCATATCTTTAGGAGTGCCATCCTCAAATACAATTGACTAAGTGATGCCATCTCTCATTGCCGTTGTTCTCATCGCCACTTATCTTCTCATGCCCACCATAATAAATCTATTTTTATATGTAAAGCCCATATGTGCAACCATCTAATTGCAGAACTGTCACTTATAGACATATATCATTTTCTATACCAAAGATCTGGCAAGATTTTATCTTTTATAAATTCCTGGAAATTGAACTCGCAAATATTTTGAAATTTTCAACTTTACATCTTCACCATAGATTGTTAGTTGACCTTACCTTTTGATGTTTAACTCATTTGGATGCTATCAATTTGCCAATTTTTAAATATTGCTTCCCACATGTTCTTATTAATCTTGTACACCAATGACCTTTTTTTTAATAATATTGCTAGCATCCATTTTTTTGTAACCTGAATTAAATATTGTGGATCTAACTCTTTTCCATTTTTTATTTTTTACTTATAATATTGATAAAGAAGATTCATCATTACTCAATTCCAGTATAGAATGCCTCTTATTTTGTAAAGCTGATTTAGCATCACCAGAATAAAACTAAATGTCTTTTCTTGGACAATGAGAATGCATCTGGTCTTGTAGAAGCTTCTTTAAGAACCTCAAATGAATCTAGATTTGTTTCTTCTTCTATGACTTCAAAAGTTGCTTTTCCAAGCCTATATTACTCCATTCATCTTCACTACATGAATTATTAGCTAAATCACTTTTTTCTTCTTCGTCATCATTGTTTTCTTTGTTTATAATCATCAACATTTACAACAGTATCATTGAACAATAATTCATCATCAATATTTAAAACAGCATCATTGACATCATCATCGATTTCATCAATTTTTGCTTAAAGAATATAAAAAATAATATTTTGATTACGATTTTTACATTTGGATGGAAATTAGAAATTTGAATTTAATTTGGTCATGTGATTTTTACAAACTTCAGATATATTAAAATTAGAATTTTTTTCACATTTATTTGTTAATAATAATAAAATCTGCACGTGTAATATATATGTGTGTGTGTGCGTGTGTGTTGTACATATATAATTCCTTCCTAACAACACCATTCATATTTAGATTTTTCAATTTTTGGTTTTAAGTTTACGTGACATAAATATTATCTGTTTGCTGTTTGTTATAAAATCATTTAAACCACTATTCAAAATATTTTATTTACACTAATTTTTATCTTCTGCCAAGAGTTTATTTATAGCTGTTTCATATTCTTTTATTGATTCTTTTGAAATTTTTATACCTTTTTCTTGTATTAATGCTTGTAATTGGTAATAATTGAGTTGCCTTCGTAATTGTTCGTTCTTATCTTTTAAAACTTTGTGAATCAAATAATGTTGAAGAAAATGTTGTTGTTTCCATAGTATTTCTTAAACTGTTTAACCGCTCCAACAGTTCTCCATTTGTCTTCTTGAGGCTATTTATTTCCTTAACATTTTTCACGTGTTGCATTTCTGATCTCTCACTCAACTCCTTATATTGACTTTCATTGATCACTATTTGTTCAAGTTGTCTTCTAGTCACTAGTTCCAAGTTTTCAACATTATTCTCAAGCGGTTTTATCTCTGATTTGTGTGCTTTTATACTTTTTTCCAACAATACTAGAGCCCTTTGGGCTTCTTCTTTTCTTCTTTCAATTTAACATGCAAAGAATATAAATATTTTAATTCGTGATCCATGATAGAAGAAGTGAATACACAAAATGTATGCATCCTTTTATTTGGTCAATAAGGTGATACAAACTTCAAAAAAATTTTTTTGAAAATCTTTGAAAATCTTCAACCATACCACATAAAGAATGTTCATCACTTGCGTTATCCATTCAACAACGTGTTTGTCTAAATCATCATCATATCCATTATCAAAGTATACAAATCCAGAACATAATGGAAGTTTTGATTTTATTAGTTGTAAAATTAGAACCGAAATTTTATGGTATGCGTAAATGTAGATCACAGAAATCAATCTAAAGGAAAAAATATTTATTTATTTATTTATGACCATTACTGTTTCATTCTCATGCTACTGCTACTGATACTTCTACTGCTGCTTTTACTATTAATGCTATCATCTCTGATTTTGATGTATTTATGTTTAAAAGTTAAACCAATTTCATAGAAAATGATACTATCCATTATATTATATGTATACTAACTATATAAATAAATAAACCATTGTAGTGAAATTGAGCTATGGTAATGCCATGGGTCATTAGGCCTGGTTCGCCATCTCCATTCAAGGTGGCGGTTTTGGTTGTGGGGATACCTGAAATTGTATGATCAACCAACTCATTCCAAGAATGGCACGATCAACATAAAATTGCAAAAAAAAAAAAAATCTTTTAGAAATGCATGTAAGTAATTCGTGTATGATTAATTATATAAACTTGACAATAATATTAATCATAATGATGTCAATAATTATAATTATCATAAAATTTTTTAACATATGTTGAAAGATCTTACAGAAACAAAATGCAATGCTTTCAAACTATGAAGCTTTAGCACTTCTTAATGAAATGGACGAGAAACAAACTCTACAAGCAAAATCTGAGCCAAACATTAAATTCGCTGAAAATTTAAAAACAATACAGTTTGAAGTAAATAATAATAAAAATTGAAAATTAGATTATTTACATTGCATCATATTGTTTATATATATATATATATATATATATTTATCACTTTTCAATATAATAATCGTAGGTTACCCAATATTTGACATCACAAACACCAGCAAAATGTCAATCTCCTGAAAAAATAGAATTAATGTTAAATAATCTTAAAAAATATAACTTGACAAAACCTGAAAAATTACAAATAATTAATTTAATGCCTCAAAGTATTGCTGAATTGGAATTGGTAAAATCATACGTATATTATTTATATATTATTTATACTTTGTATACAAGTATTTTAAATTTTTTTTTTCTTTCCTCCCAAAAAAAGATAATTGAGGATTGTGAAGATAGATTTAAGATGGAAGTTTTAAATGAGATATTGGTTATAATTGGATCAAATTTAAAAGAAAATAGTCATCATCCATTTATTGATAATAATAACAATAGCAACATTAATAAGCCATTGATAGAAAATGATGAATCATACACATTTATTCATTATGAAGCTAATAAACCAGAATCATAAATATAGTTACATAATTTATTATTTGTTTATTATTA